CGACATGATGTGTGTGCTGGATGTGGTGATGGGCTTCGCCCTCTCCTGGCCGCGTGAGGCCCCGGCTTCTTCCGCCCTTCCTCTGCTAATTAAAGCTGTGCGCGTCCCACTTAGCTTTCAGCGGAAGAGGTTCGCTCTCGCCCTGCAGATCAAAAAAATGTGCTGCATGTTTGGGTCGGACGTGTGCCTCCCAGAGGGGCGCGCAGTATCGGTACAGCCTTCTGCGTCCCAGCACACGGCCATGGCCCGGGGGAGATGCCAAACCCCTTCAGCCCTGCCCCCAGCTGGGTGCGCGCCTCTCCGTTCTCCTGCTGTCTTCGTCGCCGTCGTCACCGTCCCGTCGTGGTCCGCGTCGTGGTCATCCTCTCCCTCGGCCTCGTTCGCAGCCTCGTCATCCTTTCCCTCCCCGTCCTCATCCTCGTCGTCGTCCTTGCTGCCCTCTCCATCATCATCCTCGCCGTTGTTGTCCTCGTCCTTGTCGTCGTCGGCGTTCTCTCCCTTGTCGTCGCCCTCCTCTCCCTCCTCGTCCTTGTCCTCGTCCTTGGCCTCGTTATTCTGCCCCTCCTAGTTCTGGTCCTCATGCTCATTCTCGTCGCCGTCGTCGTCGTGGTCCTAATCTCACTCTTCGTCTCTGTCCTCTTCCTTGCCTTTGTCCTCGGCGCCCTCGTCGTAGCTCGCGTCATCGGCTGTCGTCGTTGTCGGTCGCTGTCTCTGGGAGCTGCCGGGATGTCAGCTCGCCAGTCGCATTTGCTGCGTTGTGCGGAGGGGGTGGGTGGGTGGGTTGGTGGGTGGGGGCACGACGACAATATTGGTGACGATCATGTCGAGGATGATGATGGTGGTGATGATGGTCGCGATGATGATTGTAATGGTGATGGTCATGGTGATGGTGATGGTGATGGTGGTGATGATGATGCTGGTAATGACGACGGTTGACGACAACAACGACGCGACGACGACGATACTTACACTGATACTGATGATGATGAGGATGATGACGACCATGATGATGCTGATGACGATGATGATGATGATGATGGTGATGATGCTGCTGATGATGTTGGTGATGGTGATGGTGATGGTGACGATGGTGACGATGGTGATGATGATGATGATGTGGATGCTGATGCTGATGCTGATGCTGCTGATGATGATAATGATGATGATGAGGATGATGCTGCTGATTATGACCCTGACGATGGCGATGACGATGACGACGATGATGATGATGATGATGATGATGATGATGATGATGATGATATTCATGATGATAAGAACGATGATACTTGTGATGATTATGATGATGATGGTGGTGATGATGATTGAGATGATGATGATGATGCTGATGATGTTGATGATGATTCTGATGATGCTGATGATAATGATGATGGCGGGCGTGGTGGCTTACAATGAAGGTGATCATGGTAGTGGTGAGGATGATGCTTCCGATGATGCTCTTGATGATGCTGATGAAGATGAACATGAAGATGTTGATGACGATGATGATGCTGATGATGATGCTGATGATGATGATGATGTTGCTGCTGATGATGATGCTGATGATACTGATAATGATGATTATGCTGCTGATGATGATGAAAATGATGGTTCTGACGATTATGATGATGATAATGATTAGTGTAGTGATGATGATTATGATTATGAAGATGATGATGCTGATGATGATCCTGATGATGATTACCATTGTGACGATGCTGAAACTGGTGACGATGATGAAGATCATCCTTATGGTGACAACGACTATGGTCATGATGCGATCGGTGGCACTGAATCTGATGATGACGATGATCATGATTATGAATGTAATGATGGTAATGGTGATGGTGATGGTGATGGTGATGATAACGATGACGATGACGACGACGATGGTGATGATAATGATGATGATAATGGACAATAAGGATGATGATGACGGTGACGACGATGAGGATGATGATTATGACGATGAGGTTTACGTTGCAGCTGCTTCTGATGGTGATGTTGATTATGATGATGATGATGATGATGATGATGATGATGATGATGATGATGATGACGGTGGTGATGATGCTGATGATGATGATAATGTTGTCGACAATTATGCTGATTCTGTTGGTGACAACGGCGGCGACGACGAAGTGATGACGATAACGGCGACACATACACCATGGTCATGCACACGATCATCTTGTGATTGCGTTGATGGTGGTTGTGGGGATGATGATGATGATGATGATGATGATGATGATGATGATGATGATGATGATGATGATGATGATGATGACGGTGCTGATGATGATGCTTTTTGTTGTTGTTGTTCTTGTTGTTGTTGATGATGATTGTCGAGGACAATCAGGAGGCGGGGACAGTGGCCGAGGATGACGAGGATGATGACGGTGACGATGGTGGTGTTGATGGTGACGACGAGGAGGATGGTGTTACCAACGACAATGGTGACGAGACCGACGATGATGATGACGACTACGAGCAGGTCATTGAGGACCAGGATAATCGACATGAAATTCGAGATTTCAGCCCAAATGAGATCGACATTCACATCGAAATGCACATCGACATACAATCTACACGAGTTCGAAGTTTGAATCGGTGTCTGCAACGAAACGCAAATCAACTTGCAATCGAAATCACATCGAAGTTCAGGAGGGAAGAAGCAGGTACGGGCAGGACTCCCGACATCATGATCTGTTTCACAAAGTGGACCCCTGGAGGTCTCGACCCATTGCCAGGGACCGGTTTTTCATCCGGAGTCGTTTTGGACAGTCCCAGGGTCTGTTAATGTCACATGGAAGCCCAAAATGACCGAAAACCTGCGTCATGTTTTCTTTCGCGTTTCGACGGGGTCTGGAGAGGGCCGATGTGGAGGAGGAGGAGGAGGGTGAGGAGGAGGAGGAGGAGGAGGAGGAGGAGGAGGAGGAGGAGGAGGATCAGTGTAAACCCATTCTCAGGATGTCAACGCCACGAATCAACCTGATTGTTGCGTCTTGACGATCATGAATCGTGCCAGAACATCATCCCTGGGAAGTCGTAGCCGCGAATCGACGTAACTGTTGCGCACTGACAACCTTGAATCGCGCCAGAACACAATTTCTGGAATGTTAGCCATGAGAATCCGCGAAACTCTCGCATTTTCTTAAGACGAATGTGCGTGGCGCTAAGGCGAGAGCCACATTTTGAAATGGAGCCGCATTCAATCTGTGAAACTCTTGCAACATGTTCAAAATGAACGTGCGTGGCGCTAAGGCGAAAGCCACATTTTGAAAACGAACCGCCCTCAATCCGTGAGACCCTTGCAGTTTTCTAAGACGACTGTGCGCGGCACTAGGGCGATATTCACATTTTAAGAACGAAGGTGCGCGGCGCTGAGGCGAGAGCCGCATTTTGGAAGCGACCCGGCCTCAATCCGTGAGATGCTTGCAATTTTTTAAGACGAGTGCGCGTGGCGCTCAGGCGAGAGCCACGTTTTGAAAGCGACCCGCCCTCCATCCGTGAAGCTGTCGCTAGTTCCAAACCTTCAGGCTCCTGAATGGTAAGGAAGTCTCAGGCGAAACGCCCCGCCCGCCCTTACGACTGGCCATCCCGACAGGGAGGAGTTACTCATAGGAAAAATAATGGATGAGGAGGAGGAGGAAGAGGAGGAGGAAGAGGCGGGAGGATGTCGGAGGGGGCAGGAGGAGGGAGGAAGGGGAGAAGGAGGAGGGAAGAGTAGGATAACGAGGCGGGGGGGAGGTGGAACGAAGAAGGGGGAGGATAACGAGGCGGGGGGAGAGAGCGCACCCGGCCGCCGCCGGAGGGCTCTTCCGCCGCTGGACTTCGCGCTGGCACCGGGCTCAGCCGTGCTGCAAGGAGGAGGGAAGGGGGCAGCTAGGGCGAAGGAGGAGGGGAAGCAGCAGCAGGGAGGAGGAGGCAGGATGAGGAGGAGGAGGAGGGATGAGCAGGGAGGAGGAGGCAGGAATAGGAGGAGGAGGAGCAGGAGGAGGAGGAGGTGGAGGAGGAGGAGGAGGAGGAGGAGGAGGAGGAGGAGGAGGAGGGAGGAGGAGGAGGAGGAGGGGAGAGGGAGGAGGGAGGAGGAGGAGGGAGGAGGAGGAGGAGGAGGAGGAGGAGGAGGAGGAGGAGGAGGAGGAGGAGAGGAGGAGGAGGGAGGAGAGGAGGAGAGGAGGGAGGATTTCGAGTGCGGCGAAGAGGAGGAGGCGGAGGAGGAGGAGGAGGAGGAGGAGGAACAGGAGAAGGAGAAGGAGAATGAGAAGGAGGCGGGAGGAGGGAACAGGATCGAGGAATAGACAGCATTAAAGACCTGAGCTTTCGCAGGTCCGCGGGGATTTTTCGGGGCGGTGCTGGACCCCTGGCGGCACCCCCACCCCCAGCGTCGCTTTTGGTGCGCCCCACGCCCCAGAGGATCCAGCGCCGCCCCCCGAAAAAATCCGCCCACAGTTTCTGTGATTGTGTGGCATCTTGCTCCTCCAGGGGAGGCGGGAGAAGCAGAGAGTTTGAAGTATCTAGGCGATGGGATGGGAAGGGAAAGGGGTGGGGAAGAGGAGCGAGAGAGAGAAAGAGAGAGAGAGAGCCCTGGTCTTCCCGCCCCTCCCGCGAGGCCCTGGGCCTGCGCATCGTCTGCAACCCGGACGTCTTCTTCAACGGGAAGAGCGACGACCCGGTCCTCTTCAGCACCTTGGCGGGCGCCCCGCAGTCTCACACCTCCGAAGTTTCGCGGCGCCAACATCGAATGGCGGATTTCGTTCGGAAAACATTGGGATGGGCCCGGAGTGTCCTGGGGCATTTCGCTCCGGATTTCGAAGTGCATTTCGTGTTTTTTTTTTTGTTTTTTTTTTTTTTTGTCCAGGAGGAATGAAGACTATAAACATTCCATGTGAAATTCACTTCGTTTTTCGCTCGCCGTTTCGGGGTCTTGCCTGGGCAGAAATCCATGCAAACATCCGCTGCAAGACGTCTGCAAGGTCGGTGCAATGAGATGTCGTTTTTTTTTCTCCAAGCCAGTCTTCTCGTTCCCTAGCAGCGTTTCGCCAGAGGGTTCTAACTGTTGGCAGGCGACGACCACAGACGCGCGTCTCGCACCGGGGAGGGGGAGCCCGAGACCACCTGGTTCAGCAGCGGTCCTGCGGCGGCTTCGCCCGAGACGTCCTGACAGTTTATCCAGCCGCAGTGCTGGCTACAGTCACCCCGCATAGTATCGATGGGCAGCCTTCTCAGGGGTACCCTTGCATCCTTGCCTCCTCGGTCCATCCTTGGCCACTTTCGTTGGCCGCGCCCCGCTCGAAAAGCCTCGAAATGGGCGTCCAAGGCCCTGGCAACCTCAGCGCGCATCCTTCTGCCACGGGCCGAATGTACATTTTTGGTCCAGGCGGCCACGATCCCCGGAACCAACGGCCACGATCCCATGGAACCAAAGTTCTCTGAGGCGCGCATGGTCGTGCTCCTACCCCCTGCCCTCGACCCGCCCCTTCGCCTTTGCTGTGATTAGAGTCGAGGCCCGTGCCAAGAAACACACTGCTTGCCTCCAGGGTGCCCTGGGTTTCCTAGGTTTCTAGGGTTTTGCTATGGAAAGCGTGCCGTTCCCACACCAACAAATCAATGGACGTCCTGGGGTCTCCGGGTTGGGTTTCTCGTGGAAGGTTTTTGTGGTCGAGCTCCTACTGTAATGACGGCGCTTTGCAGGGGCAATGCCTCATGGGGCCGTCGGGCCCCAGGCCATCGACATGCGGCCCAGGCCGAGAGACTGGCCCTGCGCAGGGGGCCACGAGCTTCTCTTCGGCGGCGAAATCCGAATCCCACCCTCGCCGATCCGCGCTCCAGGCAACTCGATGGGGGCGTCGGGGGTGGGGTTCAGCCCTCCCCGCCTCCCATCGATGCAGGAGAGCTGATGGTTTGTGGGGGTAGGGCTCGGATGCCGCCACCTACAGTCCATCCGCACAGCAAGGATGAGCGACTTTCCAAGGCTACCCTTGCATCCTTCCCCTTCGGCCCATCCTTGGCCGCTTGCGCTGGCCGCGCCCCGCTGGCAGAATGCCGACGTGGTCCTCCAAGGCCGTTGCATCCCTATCGTGCGCCTTTGCTGTATGGGCTGACCGTAGGGTTCGGCCCCCGCCTCACGTCTCAGAAGCCAGGCGAAGGCTGGCAAACCCGTGGCTGCCAAAACGGAGCTCAGGGAAATTGTTTGTTTCTTCCGGGAAGCAGCCCGTTTACCACATAATGCTCTGAGTTCTATGATGGGATTTTTTCTTCCTGGAGGACAGTTTTAGCAGCCACGGATTTGCCAGCCCTCGCCCAGCTTCAGACCGTCGATGCATGATAGCCGATGGTTGGTGGGGATAGGGCTCGGATGCCACCAGCTACTCTGTGGATTGGAGGAAGCCTCTGCGCCGTGTCCCCGCGGAGTGGAGGAGGGGGGGGGGAGGCGGGGGGAGGAGGGGGAGTAGGAGGGGGAGGAGGAGGAGGGGGAGTGAGAGGGGGAGGAGGAGGAGGAGGAGGAGGAGGAGGAGGAGGACGAGGAGGAGGAGGATGATGATGAGGAAGAATAATAAGAAGAGGAGGATGAGGAGGAGGAAGAGGAGGAGGAGGCGGACGATGATGATGATGATGATGATGATGATGATGATGATGATGATGATGATGATGATGATGATGATGATGATGATGATGATGATGCTGATGCTGATGATGATGATGACGATTCTGATGATGATGATGCTGCTGATGATGATGACGATGAGATGATGATGTTGTTGATGATGATGATGCTGCTGATGCTGATGATGATGATGCTGCTGATGCTGATGCTGATCATGATGATGATGCTGATGAAGATGATGCTGATGATGGTTATGATGATGATGACGATGACGATGATGATGATGATGATGATGATGATGATGATGATGCTGATGCTGCTGATGATGATGAAAAGATGATGATGATGATGCACATGATAATGCGAGGATGATAAGATGATGCTGATGCGGCTGAGATGATGATGCTGATGATTATGATGAAGCTGATGGTGGTGGTGATGATGCTGATGATGCTGATGATGATGCGGATGCGCTGCTGCTGATGATGGTGATGTTGCTGATGCTATTGGTGGTGGTGGGGATGATGATTGCTGATGATGAGGATGACGATTACGATGACGATGGCGATGATGATGCTGATGATGCTGATGCTGATGCTGATGCTGATGATGATGCTGATGATGATGATGACGATGGCGATGACGATCACGATGACGATGACGATGACGATGACGATGACGATGGCGATGACGATGATGATGATGATGATGATGATGATGATGATGCTGATTGATGATGATGATGATGATGATGATGATGATGATGATGATGATGATGATGATGATGATGATGATGATGATGATGATGACGATGATGATGATGATGATGATGATGATGATGATGATGATGATGATGATGATGATACCGACAGATGCTGATGATGCTGATGATGATG